GCGAGAGATACACGGCGATTGTTCGGCCGCTTATGGGCACGATACGAAAATTGCGCGGTAACACGAGCGTTTATTTTTCTTTCAGGCATGTTGAATAAGCAACAGTCACTCATCTATTTATAACGTCACCGCGCTAACCACCATCCGTCGAGTCTATTATTGCGTGTAAATATAGAGCGCATAAAGAATGCCGGCGCATACACACACACACACACACACGGTGCACGGAACCTGCTCCAAGAGATCGGAAGAGAAAAAAATGGAGCTCCGGTTTATTATCGATCCGTCCTGTCGGCGTTGTCAGTCAATCGCGTACGTGCGCACGCACACGAGCGACGGAATTGTGTAATCTTTTGTGACGACGAAATTTTCTCGATTAACATATCTCTGTGCCACACACACCCGGCTTGTAATCATATTTATTCCCGCCATAATCTGCATATTATTTTCTATCCCTTTGAGCCGTCGTTGTCGCTCGGCTTTAACGCGCTCGGCGACGACGAGCGCAGGTAACCGCGTCACCGTCGCCACCGAGCGACTTTATATTCTATCCGCGTGTACACATGCTCGCAGGAGATAGCTTCATTTATTATCCGCGAGAAATATCCCCGTCGAAGACACGGATTTATCGACGAACGCAGATTCGATCTCACAGCGAGCGTTAACCACCATCACCGCGATCCAATGCGTGATCCAATTTTCTAACCATCGTCCTCCCGTGTTTCCGGAACTTACCAGCACACGGATGAAGCGCGTAACGCGAATTATCTGTGGCTCAGATTAAAATTTTCCAATTACGTCGCTGCGTCGCGATGTTACGCGCCGAACGACACGAGCCTCCGGCGCCTTTCACAGTTCGTCTCGGCGCCGGGAGAGATCCTCCGCGACTGATATACAAATTGTACAGCGACCTCGTACGCGGAATGATTTGTTACGGAACGGCCCCCCCTATTTTTCTCGCCATCGAACAGTATGCATAATCCGGCGGTAATTAGCGGTGCAGATTTACACGAGACGTTATGCAACGCGCGAAACGCGCTTGTCATCCGACGGAGAGGGCGCAGAGAGAGAGAGAGAGGGAGAGGAGTCGTCGAACTTGTCGCGTGTGGTCGTCGGTGTCGGTGTGTTTCGCAAGCTCTCTTGAAATAGCGGAACGACCGCGCGCGAGATGAATGGCCGCGGCGTGATCGCTTTTAACAGATCGCGCTCGCTCGTATAAATCGCGCCAGCAACGAGGTCGTTCGGCGAACAAAAAACGTGTCTCCAGCTTCCAACAGCGGGCCCGCGCGCCGACGAATCGTGTCGCTCGCATATTAATCGGCCGTCCGCCGACGCGACCGTAATATTGCGCAATCGCGTCCATCCGTGTGACAAAAAAGAAAGGGAAGACAAATCGATCGGTCAGGTGCGACGCACGCGACGCCTCCTCGAACGCGGACGGGGGAGGAAAGAGTGACGAAGCGGGGAGATTTGTCGCGCGCGTGGAGAAGAGAACGAAAATGAAAAACGAAAAGGGTCCAACGTGGCGCGAACGAAAGCCGCGGCCTCCACGACAACCTTCTTCGCAAGAAGAGGTCGCGGGAAACTTCGCGAGGCGGCTTCGCGTCGTCTTTCGCGGCTAGGGATGCGCGATATTTACCGATTAATCGATTCGTCCAATACTTTTTCTACAAAAATCGATAATTAACTGCCGATATTTTTGAGGTCTGATATATCGATATTCGATTTCTTTTTTGTGAATATCGAGAGTCTGCTACGTACGCCATCTGCAGCTTGAAATTTGAAACAAATATAATTAAATTTCAAATTTCTGTTGTAACGTTCCAATATTATCTATCGATGACTGTTTAAAATACAAATTTTAACATATCCAGGCTAATATTATGTTGTACGATAAGCTTGTCGGACACGTTGATTACTTGGCGGATAGAATATTTCTAAAATTGCTCCGGACATTCTGTAAATTCTCTATTCGACCACTAATCAATGTGTATCTAACAAGTTTGTTATACGGCGCAATTGATAGGTCTGTTCTTTTCCTTTATTCTATTTTTCGTTCAAGATCGATGATCTTGAATTGGTGATTTAATAATTCTGTTATTTAATTTCTTTTTATTTTAAATTGATTCTTTAACCGAACATGGTATGTTGAGCCAGATCTAAATTTTATCATTATATGATTTGTTCATAGGCATGGAGTTTAATTACATAATCTTTTCTAAATATCATCAGAAATAATCAACTTTTATATCCGCAGGAATCGCCGAACGTTGAACATCGATTTACAAACGGCAACTTCAAATCATATCAAATTACCCGAAGTAATTCAAATCAGTTCAAATTACCCGAAGAAATATAGCAAAAGGATTAAAGAATACACAATAAATAAATAAAAGGAAAAAACTTTTGGAACATTTAAAACCGTTTTGCAATTAATACGCAAAATAATTTCATAATATCCAAAGTTGATTTATTCCCAAATATTATTTGATGAGAATATTAATAAAATTGTCAATATTAAAGAAAATTATAAGCGTTTAGTTTTAAAATATTAAGAAATAACAATTAAAAATTAAAACCGATATATCGATTCCACGATTATCTTTTTTTTGCAATAATCGAATATTCGATATCGATTTTTTCCATTTTTATCGATTTCTGTCTTTCGGTGTCGATGTTTTTATCAATATCGCGCGCATCCCTATTCGCGCGGTTCGATCGTGCGCGCCGGGCGCGAAAGTCGCTTTACCGCAATGCAGAGCGTGCGATTTCGTGTGCGCGTTCTCGCGCGTCTGATGTGTGCGCGACGTAAATATAACTCGAAGCGCGTGAGAGCGCGCGTCTACCTCGTGTCCGCGTCGCGTCGCGCCGCGGCGGCGGAGGCGGCGTGGCGGTGCGCGTGTAAGATTTACAGTCTCTCGTTATAATACGTGCGTGTGGGTGTGCGTATACGCGAAACCATTGATACGCGAGACATGATAGGGAAAATCGAGCGCCGTTTGACACGCCATTATTCTTCACGGGACACGTCGATCCGCGCGGCGACGCGCGGGTGAAAAGTGACCTGACATTGGAACGACCGCGTGTCCCACTTATCGAGCGTGTTCCTTCCTCGATCGCGAGACTCCGCCGACGAACTCGTCTCTCCCCCGCCTCTCGGGGGATCGCTCTCGAGGTTGGTCGCGTGTTTCGATTTGCTGGCAGTAATTGAAAAATTTACGTACCCTCGACTCTGCTCATTACCTTCGCTTCTTGAAGCCGTCAAGTCGTCAGTCGTTTGTTTGATTTCGTCGGAAAGCCTTTCCGACTAACAGAGAGAGAGAGAGAGAGAGAGAGAGAGAGAGAGAGATTTATAGGGAGCAAATATTTTCATTATCGTAGAGAAACGTCGAGTGCGTTTTCATTCCTACTTGTTCCCCGTCATTTCGTAATCAACGGCACTTACCGCGTGCACGCGTTTGCGCGCGCATAATTTCCCTTTCTCATTTTTACGATCGCGAGATATAAAAGGGTCGCGCAAATGACCTAGTTTCTTCCACTATTATTCTAGTCGCACATAGAAAGATATGATCGCCCTGACGTGGTCGACGTGGCATTCCACGTAAATCATACGCAGCGTGGCAATTACGCGCACTGGACGTGCCTGCCGGAAGCGAGGCGTCGAATCGCGGACGTTTCGACGCCGGGAAACCCGAAAAAAGAAACAAAAACGCCCTCCCGCGCGCCGTTATTAAACCGTCGAGAATCGCCGTCATTTTTTATTATGAAGAGATTGATATCGTTTGTCCGAGCGACGGGATTAAACATCCGCGCGGTGCACAGCGCGCTGGTAATAACGATTTTTTTTCTTTCCTTCCTGTAGCTCGCACGAGAGCGCTTTGCTCTATCGAGCACGGCGATATGCTCGGGCGCTCGTAAAAGACTCCAAAGAGCTGGCCCCCAACCTTTCTACTCGTCCGATGAAAATATTTTTCACGGCACGCAAGTCGTTGCATTCTCGCAATGGCGTAGGCTCGAGTGGGTGAGCTCGAACGTATTGACGAGAAGTGAAGAATCGGGCTCTCATGAATCGCCGCGAAGCTCCAAGATCCAGCTTTAGATTTAGGGCGATATTCATAGTCGGCTCCTTCTTATATTTCAAATCGTCTTAATTTCATATGGAGATATTATCCAGGCAAGGAATGGTCCGCTCTTCCAGCACCTTGGGATGATCTTCAATATTGTATTACCGGACTATGAATACCGTCTCTTACTCGAAAAAGACACGCCGGTCGAGTCTCGTCCGCCGCCGCCGCCGCCGCCGCCGCCGCCGCCGGGTGTTACTCGGGAAAAGAGGAAAAAGAAAACGGAAAACAGATTCGTCGACGCGCGTCTGGTTCGCGCGGAACCCGTCAGGAACGGAAACGAACACTCGACCGCGACTCCGAACACTCCACGCCACTGCTCGCGGGCGCTCGGAGGAGAGCGAGCTCGCAGGGGGCGGCGTATAAAGACGGACCCGTGTAAACCGCAAGCTCCATTTGTTGCTCGCGAGTTCGCAGCCGCCGTGCGCGCCGGTTCGGCCGACGAGGAGCCGGCCGAGGAGCGCCTTGTTCGTTGTATTTTCGTCGGCTCGGAACGGCACCGCGGCGGTACACCGCGGCGGCCACGCGAGGGCCGGAAAGGTCAGCCGGCGATTCGCAGCGGACACTTGCGCAAATTATTTCACACACGTATAACCATACATACGAAAGCACACCGGGCTCCTTTTTATCGGCGAGATCGTTATCGGCCGATGTAAATTTCATCGGGACGCGCGACGCGCCGGAGTGAATCGTTGAGTGCGCGAAATCGATCTGAATCCGCGGACAGAAGTCAGAAGACGGAATCGATCGAATTCGTTCTTTGCTTCACTCCCTCAGCTTCACGCTGTGCCATCTCATTTTCGCAAGGTTCATCCTCATCAAACAGTGCACTCTGGCCGTGAATTGACCCGGGCTGCATTCGCGTTATTGTTGCAGCCGTGATCTGGGAATGAGCTCGAGGGTCGCGCGCAATCGGAAGGTAATCACATCGCCGGCGATGCGAGCGAGACGCACGGCCGAATAATGCGTCGCGAAGCGATCCCGCAGAATCATCCTTACGACATCGCCCGAGGGGAAGGATGCAGCACGGCAAAGGTGGATAGAAGACGCCGAACGTTCGACAAGGTGTATGTACAGGTGAGAGCGAGCGAAGATATTCGGAATCCACGCAGCGGTGATATTAACGCTGAAACTACCGGCGATCAACGACTTATTTCTATATCGGAGCAGTCGGAATGACAAGCTTTGAAAAAACTGCGTATATCATGCGAAAGTGAAAATGCTTAGTTGTTTTTTAGTTTCCTCCGACGTCGATAAGAAATATAAAATACGCCGTTATAAGTTTGCGAGCAAGTTTAGAAGATTTTGGAAGAAATTACTGAAGAAGTTACCTTGACTTCTTTGGCGTTAGCTTTAGCGTTAACGGAGCGTAGACATTAAAAATTCTGAAAATTGAAGTGATGTAAAGATGATTCCATCGATAAACCGAAAGATCGATTTGCAGTGATTCAGACTTTGAATATCTAATCGGATCGGTGTCGAAAGAACAGTAATATCGTGCAAGTGCGAACTCGCCGTGAGTAAGAGCACTCATCGAAACAAACAATAAAGTTAAACAGCGCGGCAAGAAACATCGATTATCCTGTATTGGTGCTGACACCAATAACGCAAACTCTTGAAACGTTAATTAATTAATTAATCAGTCAATCTCCCAATTGTAATGCGCAGGCCGCCGGAACCGGCCATTTCGGTTCCGGACCGTGAAATCGCACAGCTACGATAAGAAGCAGAAGTGGAGACGGACAAGTGTGCGGAAGGGTACGCGGTCCATACCCGGCCCGCCATCCTGGCGGCATGGTCCTTTGGGCCACGATACTTATCCTCCAAGGGGCTGGATTCGTAGGTGAGCATAATCGACGGTGAGCTACTCAGATTCAGTCACAAAAAGCCAAGCGATGAAGCCAAGCGTTAGGAAATTATTCAAAGAGACGACGAGATTTGAATGAAATTTTGAGGGAGAAAATTACGTGAAATTGGAGTGAAATTCTCACTAAAAGAGAGCTTCCGTTGGAAATTGGTCGGAAAATTCCCTGGAGAAGAGCGAACGGTATTCTTTCTCTGCCGTTCTTCCCTTCGGCGATACTCGGTGCGCGGAAACGACGGAAGTATTTTGGCGGATAATGACGAGGACTCTCGACGGTTGACTGTTCGCAGGCTCGGTGACAGGCATTCCCGGCGTCCCGGAAAACATAACGGTGATGTTCCTGAACCCGACGTCCGTGCGCGTGTCCTGGAGCACCAGTCAGGTCGAGCAGGTCGAGAAGTACGACGTTACGTACAAGCCAACCGACGCCAGGTGCGTTCCGACGATTCCAACGTCCGCGGAGTCGCGCGCGAGTCGAGAGCTGCGCGATTTTTGTCTGTCCCTCCGCTTGCGGTCTCCCCGACGAAAACATTCACCCCTCGTGAAAGGTGAACGCTTCAAACAGAGAGCTCTCCCGTGAGAAACGAAAGCTTTCACGATGCTTTCACGAAAATACAACGCGAGTATATGCATCCGAATCTCCATAGAGCGCACATGCGACCAGAGAGGCAAGAAGGAGATAGAGATAGGTAGATGGGTAATTTTATTCGATCTTTTGAAGGAGATTAAGCTCTCTCTCTGAAGCATCGTTAATATTGGGTTGGCAACTAAGTGATTGCGGATTTTGTCGACAGATGGATTTTACACTTTCTTTTGTTTCGTTAACGTGTTCAAAGTACCTAACCTATATTTTTTTCTTATTGTTTGGACTTCTACCTTTCATTTAGTACAAAAATTATATCGATTAGTTGTTTAGTTTTGTTTTCATCCCAATTTAAAAATGGAAGAGCAAGACGTGCACTTGAGACATATTTTATTGTATTATTTCCGAAAAGGCAAGAACGCATCGCAAGCACACAAGAAGTTATGTGCCGTATATGGGAATGAAGCCTTGAAAGAAAGGCAGTGTCAAAATTGGTTTGCCAGATTTCGTTCTGGTGATTTTTCATTGAAAAATGCTCAACGATCTGGCCGTCCAGTTGAAGTCGATGAGACCCATATCAAGGCCATTGTCGATTCAGATCGTCATAGCACAACACGTGATGTTGCAGAGAAGCTCAATGTATCGCATACATGCATTGAAAAAGATTTCAAAAAGCAAATTTAAAATTTTGAATTTTCATTCTTATTTAAAATCCGCAATCACTTAGTTGCCAACCCAATAGATGAAGTAAGTAATGAAAGAAATTGAATAGGAAAGAAATCGAGCGAGAAGAAAAGGAAAAGGGCGCTGGAAGAGTGATGTTTACCGCGAAACAATGAGAGGGAGATTCGACGGGTCGAAAAAAAGAAAGCGATACAAATTATCCCCGTTCTCTCGCGATCTACATATCTGCAGTTTCTAGCCGTTCTACTCGCTCCGCATTCATCACGAACGACACGACCGAGAGATGCTGACACACTTAGCCGCGGTTCGCGGATTGCGACAAAGTGCCGCAATGCAGATATTTAGGCTTATCGAATCCGGCATGTGTATACATGTAAAAAGTTTAAACGGTCGCATTACGGGGAGCGTTGCGACCCGTGCTAGATACGCCGAGGCTTATCGTCGGGAAAGGGTCGAAAGGACATTAACAAGCGGGTCGAGACGTGCGTGACACGCGCGTGTGTGCACGTCGCGCTTAATGCAACAGCAAACGCATTATACGGCGCACGGTACGAGGGTAGTCCCAGAAGTACCTGACCTAACGGAGAAAACACAAAAATTTGGGAAAAAATATCTTTGTTTCTCTACACAGTCTCCTTTTAGCTCAATACAATTTTTGCCAGCGATGTTCAATAGCTTCGATACCAGCTGTTTATAGTGGGAATCGTCGAGCTCCGCAAAATAGCCATCAAGTCACCTTGGTCCATTGTTTTGACTGTTCCTTCGTCTCAGGTGTGAAGTGATGGACCCATGTTTCATCCATGGTTATGAATCAACGCAAAAACTCGGCTTTATTGTTGCGAAACTTCGCCAAACACTCGATTGAAACATCCTCACGACGCTGTTTTTGTTCCAATCGCGGCACCCATCTTGCGCACAGCTTTCTCATGTCCAAATTTTCAGTCAATATGCGATGCACTTTTTGAAATGCCTACCATGTCTGCTAACTCGCGCACTTTCAGTCGACGGTCATCCAATACTATTTTGTGGATTTTCCTCACCATTTCTGGCATGGTCACCTCATTTGGTCGACCACTGCGATGTTCGTCTTGGCAGCTCGTACGGCCTCGTTTAAATTCTGCCATCCAATATTTTACTATTGTAAACGAAGCAGTAGACTCCCCCAGAGTAGAATCTAGCTCCTCTTTGATATTGGTTGGACTGAGGCCTTTCAAATAAAAGTATTGTATCACATAAGGATGACCAATTTTTTCCATGTTTACAAATTCACTGAGAGCGTTCACTATTGATGGCTGCCAAACAAATACTAAACAACGTAGCGTCGTCAAACTTCAAACTTAAGCTTTGTAAGGTTGGTACTTTCTACCATAGTCATTCTTTTCAAACAACAACAACCGCTATCTTTACGTCAGGTCAGATACTTCTGAGACTACCCTCGTAGTTTCCTTTAATCATCGGGCATGCCTGAATGACGGTCGAATGTAAATACAAATGCTGCCGCGTCGCGAGAGCGAAAATGTCGAAGTGACATTTTTGTTAATCCACCGAGTCGGCGAGTTTTCCAATCCAGCGCGAATGCAGCCGCGTAAAATGCTAATCACACCGCGTATTTAATGCGCTGCAAGTCTCAGGAAGGAAGTACATTCTTCTTTTTAATTTCTTTCTTGATCGTCTATCCCCGTTCATCATCGCACACCTTGAGTATTTTCAAAATCGTTCTTTAAAATTTATTAACGTGACTTTGGTACCACAAAATATAAAAATCTGGATTGCTCGATTTGCAGCAACGGCAATTCCAGGAACTTCACGGAGCAATTTGCGGTTGGATTCAACAAGCATGAATGCGTCGCATTTCATTTTATTTTCATTTTGGAAAGCTCGGCCTTACGAATTTCCGCGAAACCGCAAATTGTGCCGCGCAACGACAAACGCGTGCGACGGTTATATTCCCCGGAAAAACGCGAGCACGAAAAGGCCGTGCGATCTGTTACGGCGTCCGTTTAAATGCTTAAGCGGCGCGATTACGTTCAATTTGTTGTAAAAATGCATAACATCGATTCCTACTTCGATATGACGCTCGTCCACGCCGCGGTCTCGTTATATAAAGTCTAGCGTGCGCTTGCTTATGCCGGCCAGATTATTGACTTTACGTAACGACGAGAGCACACCGATATATATTAAACAAATTGATTGGGAAATTTCGCTGACTAGAAGAGTAGATTCGCCCGGAGCTGATCAATTCGAATCTATGCCGGGAACTTTGTTCTGCCTCTCGTTCGCAACGAGACTTCGATGACGAGCTTACGAACGATTTTAATAATAGTAATCATAACAACACAATAATAATCCCGTTGCGCGCAACAGAACTTTATCGGATTTTGCAAAATTATTCTAACAATCTCTCCTTCTCTGTCATTTTCTTCTCCCTTTCCCTCTCTCTCTCTCTCTCTCTCTCTCTCTCTCTCTCTCTCTCTCTCTCTCCCTCTCTCTCTCTTTCTCTCTCTCTCTCTCTCTCTCTCTCTCTCTCTCTCTCTCTCCTCTCTCTCTCTCTCTCTCTCTCTCTCTCTCTCTCTCTCTCTTCTTCCCTCTTGACAATTGTTAACGGTTCATTTAATATCGTCGATCCAATTACCGTGGCTCGCAACGCGACGCAACGCGGACCTTGAATCTATCGAACTGCAGCGACGATAAGCTGTAGTTGCACTTGGATGACTCTCGATACAATCTTGCGGAAGGACGATCTCGCTGAAGAGGGGGGGAACGACTTCTTTTCAACTGCTCTCGGCGAAGGCACGGCGCGCATCTCCCGAATCTCGATTTACTCGTCAAACTCCTCAAACTGATTGCTTTGAAGAAAAGAACACTCGAGCCAAACACGGAGTAATATGAAATATATAAGTGCATTAGCTGAAGATTAAGATAGATACAAGGAGAAGCGTTCAACTATTTGAGTAGCTGCAGACGTTCCAACAGACGAGATTCCTTCGTTATAATTTTTGTTCGAAGCGCCACAAGTATTTTTACTTTTCCTAGGTATCAGATCGATGAAGGCAACAATAAGAGTCAGGTCGTGGATATCGGCGAGCTATTCTCTACTACGACTAAATTCTCGGCAAAACTATTCTTAAGTCTTCTTTTCAGATGATTTTTCTTGTTCCTCAACATTTTCGTATTATTAGACGACGATTAGACACGTGTCGCGATAATTCGATCGCGAATTGAAACGTCTCGACGAACGGTCAGTCGAGTGAGTGACAGACCGGAGAGAAAAAATCATCAAGTATCATAACGGCAAGGTGGTTAGTTACAGGGTGGTGGCGGTGGTCGCAGGAAACAGCGAAGCGGTTACTTTGAGCGGCCTCCGGGCTGATACGCAATATCAGCTGGTAGTAACCGCCGTGAGGGCCGGAAAGAAGTTTCGAAGTCGACCGATCGTCTTCCGTACACTCGGTAAGCTTTGCCTTCCTAAGCTTTACCTGTCTCCGGCGTCACGGTCACAGACGAGAGGTGCGTTCTGACAATGGGAGAAATAGTTTCTCTAAGATATAGAGTCTATGTAGCAATTACTAGTTTAATCATCACGATGCTTAATCCGTAGTGTTATTACTAGTCGCGGTCCGCATTTACCAGTCATGATCATCGAGATCGTAGCTGCGAGTCGCATCGTATACTCGCGATTTCCCTCGTGCAATTTATTTCCACCCGTAATTTATTTATGCCAGTTATATATTAGTTGTCGCGGCGCGAAATATTTGAAATTAAATTCAAATGCTTTATTTAATTTCTTGATTTGTGTGAAATTTAATTTCTCGCTCTCCGTGACAAACTTTCGTGACAAACGATACTGAAACATTTTAGTTTGATTCGGTACGGCTTGCAGCTACACACAGAGAAACATGTGACAAATATTGTTTATTTCTATTTTTATAGTTCCATGTGTGTGTACAGTAGAAGCACCCGCGCGATACGACGTTTCGGTTCAATTCACATTTGGTTTTACTTTCGAGACACCGGTGTGTAGGCAGTACATATTTATTTATTTATTTATTTATTTATTACGTATTCACTTGATTAGAAATAATTTGTCCCATAAAGTATCACGAAGAAGAAATCGCGATTAAAAAGTTTGTTTCGCCGAAGAGGCTCAACTTGACTCTCTCTCTCTCTCTCTCTCTCTCTCTCTCTCTCTCTCACTCGCTCTCTCGAAGCAGAAGAAAAAACGTCTCGGTACCATCCGCGTTGGGTCACATGTTTATGCATGCATGATAACTAATATGTGCACTATGAGTTTGCCATGACGTTACACCGCGAGGCGAAATGAAGCGTTGCGCGATAAAGCACCGCGATAAAAGCCCGTAACGACGTTGAACGCGCGCAAGCTCGCAAGCGCGAACGACATCATGTAAACGAGGTTCTATGGTTTCAGAGCCACCACGCACGTCCCCGCAGCAAGATGCAGCGGTAACCGGTGGTCCTCTTCCTCCACCTCCACCGTCCTCGCAACAACCTCAACCGTACATACAAGTAAGCTACTTTCTTCCTGAGCGATGCACGATTTTCGGACGCGTCGACTCGCGCGCCATCATCGGCCGATATTCGTGCGCGATTGACGTTTACGACGACGTTCGAGTGGCCGAAGGAGGAAGTCTCAACGAAACGCAACGTCCGCTTCCTGCTCGCCGCAATCAGTCACGCTGGCAAGACGATCGCGCGAGACTCCTTTCTCGTTTAACGCTCTCTCTCTCTCTCTCTCTCTCTCCCTCTCTCTCTCTCTCTCTCTCTCTCTCTCTCTCTCTCTCTCGTTTGAAGCTTCAGGCCTTCGGCTTGGCTCGGGCGAATTCATCTCTCAACAGCCCGACTTTGGAGATTTCCCTTTTGCCCTTTTCGAGTATCCTCGTTGCATGTAACGGCTTGTGACTCGAGTTTTTCTTCCAGGGAAATGCGACGAAAATTGAAAAGATTAGATCGCGCTTATCGGGCTGTTTTATTCACGCTGCGGGGAGATATCAATCGCAAGCTCCTTGATCTCCGTTTATCTCTCATGATGACGCTTTCGGCGGAGGGAGATGACCCTTCCCGTGCGACTGTACTCTCCCCGAGCGTGATCCAGAAGAATTACTCGCCATCGTCTTAATGCGTCCCACGCGCGTATTTTTCGGGGCGTGAGGCTTCCCGCTCTCGCTCTCGCGCGAGCTCTTCCGCAAAAATCATCGGTGCGAAATGTCAGCTCTCCGCGAAGAGGGACGGACACGAGGGACGATTTATCGCGCTGTACGGCGGATAGGACTGTCCTCTGGGTAGAATGAAAGTGGGAGGGCAAGAGGGAGCGGGATATGGTCGTGAAACTTTTCCGGATCCAATCCGGGAGACACCGGGAAACCGCAGCGCGCACCCCTCTGCGTTATGTGTCCCGAGATTATATTTCTTTTCTAACTTTCCGTCGTACGATCTACTCGTAATATCTACTCTAAATGCCCGACGGAGGATAATAAATAATGTCGATTTTCCGCTCAGCGGAATTTTGACGCGGCGTCACGTCCTGATAACGTGTCCCGATTAATTCCCACGCGATGAGCCGCAATCACGGTATCTCGTGATCACGTGTATTCGAGGTAGGACTTCTCGCGGGACGATCTGGACGAGACATCGCCGTCGACACGAGGAATTCAAAGGTAATGTTTTCCGTTGCCGCGGAACTACACACGCGGGCGGAACACAATGGCCGTGCAATGTCGGTAAAATGTCGCGGATGAATTGTGGGCTCTTCCTGCGAGCCACGAGTGAGCTCCGTGATTTAAGCTTCCGCCGGGACGAATACAGGGAGAAAGAAAGAGGGTGAGAGAGAGAGAGAGAGAGAGAGAGAGAGGGTGAGAGAGAGAGAGAGAGAGAGAGAGGAGAGAGAGAGAGAGAGAGAGAGAGGGAGAGCGTGGCCCGAGTCGAGCATGTTCTTCTTCTTTCGCCCCGATGCGACGGAGGTCCGCGCGCCGCTCGTATGCGAACGTCTGCGCGGTGTACTCGCGACAGCTGTCGAGATTGCTGTCTAAACGAGAACACAGCTATCAGTTATCGAGCATGATCCTCGCTCGTCGTCGGATTTTCACACCGGACGATCTTATCGAGCGAACGACTGTCTCGCTGAATCCTCTCAAATCGTGTGTGTGTGTGTGTGTGTGCCACGTACGTACAACGGCCGAAGATCCGCATCGCGTCGTTTGCAAAGGGATGACGAAGACGTGAGTCTCGCTCGTCAGGTTTTACTTCTCGAATATACATCGGCTGTGCCTCCATATTCGTGATTTGCACTGGATGGTCTCTCGAGAGACCGTTTCGTATCGGGAGATGGGAGTCTACCGATCCTCCCGATTAATACGCTCGCCTGACAAAGAAAGAGACGCTGACGAGGAGAGAGCGCAGGTCAGAGCCGCGAATTAATCCAAGCTCCGCTGCTTGCTTCGCTTTCAGATCCGCGGCGTCGAGGTGGGCATAGTAGTGTTAGTGCTGATAGTCTGGGCGGGCGCGATCGCGCTCTTCTTCAATCGCTGGGGCAAGATCCGCATGTTGCTGCCTTATCAGCCCGACTACAAGGAGCAACTCAAGGTCCCCGGCACCGGCGTGTGCGCGGCCGCGAACGCCGCGTACACGCAGCACCCGACGCAGCACGCGTGCTCTCAGGTAACGCATAGGTATACTGCACCCGCGACGCAACTTGCCGAGCCCTGCGAGCTCGAGCCACGAGACGGCCACGCGTCGCGTGCCACCGCGTGTTCCTCGGCGAAACGCGCAGCCAGGCGGCGTGCTCTCGAGATTTCTCGGGGTGAAATCGCGCTCGAAGTCGCGAAATCGTGAAAATATCGGCCCACTTGGAATCACAAGGCGCGGCCTTCGGACTCTGAATTTCGATTCTTGGATCGGCGTTTTAGCAGGTGAGAATGTGATCCTTTTTTTTTTCTTTTAATTTAATTAGACGCTGAATTTAAATACACTTTCCCGGATGTCGGAAACGAGAAAAGTTTCCTAATTTCTTTAATTTTCCTCAGCTTCCCTCATTTCTTTGCTTTACTCGTCTATTTTTACTTATACATATATACGGATATAACACTTTATTGTGTTTTGTATTTATGTTTCTGTTTTGTTCTTGCGTTTCTTTGATATTATATAACTGAAAGCTTTTTCCTGTTAGTAAATTGAATTGAATTGAAAAATATTCACTCTCAACGATACGCTCTTAATGAGTGAAAGGTTGCTCGGATTTAAATAACACGACTGTCGTTCTGCATTCCGAGTGGGATTTTATTCCGAGAAATTTACAGAGTCCGCGTGGTGCCGAAAGAGATCGGCGAGTCTTCGACGAACGAATCGTGAGAGTCACGCTCGCTGCCGGGAGAGAAATCACTTCAGAAAGTACGCCAATGTCTCGCAGATTCACAGAGAAGGTTCTTCTCTTGAACGATTTCGAATCCACTAGAAAATACGTTCCAGAGAAGCTTAAGTTCTCGTTTTCAGCCGCGCGAAGAATGACCCGAAGCCGTTTCGCGGCCAACGATCGAGACTCTCCGAATCGTCCTCGTCGAGTTCGCGTAGCTGTAGATGAAATCCAATCTTACCAATTGTCTCATGAAGCCCACAACCGGTCGCAGTAATCTCGATTAATTTCCTCAGCTTTTGCCTTTGGATCCGTTGAAACGCATCGTCGCGTCGCGAGTTTCCGATCAAGTTCGCAGCGCCGCGTGAAAAATCGGCTCATTCGGGTCGTCGCAGATCCGAGCTGACGATCCAGATCAAACGACCGAATTAGCTCATTGTGCGTTGCCCGATATGGGTTAGCGGGAAGGTCGACTGAGAAAAGAAAACCGAAAGAGATTAATCTTTCCCTCCGGCCTTCCGAAGGAGGAGTGCCTCTGACTCTTTGTGTCTGCCGGCGTTTGAATGGTCGCGCGTAAAATTGCTCGGAACGATTTTATTTCTCTTCCTTCGCAACGAAAAGATCGCCGTGGGATCGCCGTTTCGAAATCGGGTCGGTGTTTCCGCGTTGAAATATCGTGGGCTCGAATTCGCGCGAGAGACGCGCCCGGGGAGGATCGCTCGGGGTAGTATTTGCGCGAGGTGTGCTGGAAATGCAGCCGGTGTTTACGCGAAACGCACATGCGAGTGTGTAATGGCGGCGATGGCAGTGGCGGTGGTGGATCTAAGCCGAAGCGATTTGCAAACGAGATCGAATCGAGTGGAATCGGATCGACGGCGTCGAATGTCTGGCATTCGTTCCCGCGGAATTCCGAGCTGCCGCGCGATATTGCTCCTCGATTACGCAAGCTTGCGCGGTGCAATCTTCATCGCGTATGCATCGGTAGGCATAGTTTTCTTGCTTCCCGAGCGCTACTGCGGTAGACGATGGCTAGCTGGTGGTCGGCGGTGCAAAATTCGAGCAATGCCGACGCGACGACGAACGAACCAACGAGCGAACGAACGAACGAACGAACGAACGAACGAAGAGACAGAGTTAAATATAACGCACGCGACCGTAGGACGCGTAACGCGAGTATACAACGTAGCGGCGATACCCGCAGGATTATTAGCATACCTCGAATTCCTACTCGTTGACGAGGGCGTAATTCGCGTTTGTACCTGGAGAACACACTCCCGGAGCAACCACGGAGCGCGCGAGTGCTCGCTGAACGCGGTTTGGTGCGCGAGTGATCGGGCGAGCTCGTCTTCCGGATTCCGTCAAGAATTTCCACTCGAAATTGCAGTCGAGCGATGTCCGCCGACGCTCCGCGTAAACGACGCGAAATAATGACCCGCATTGAGAAAAAAGGGCTTGATCTTCCTAACCATGATGGGAATCGCATAACAATAGTCAGGAGAAGCATTTTTGTAACAGATACTGCTATTAGCGATAATTGCTACGTGTATCGCATTTTCTTTCTTAAAACAATAAGGAGACATCATCGGAGCCAGAAATTAATATAATTTTAGTAATATTCGTTTTGTATACTAAAGAGTTTCCCGTAAATAATAATAATTATTATTATTATTGTTGTATCAACTATTTTTTCTCAGTGCCGATTATCGGATACCGCACCGGATATTTCGAATCGCCGGGATTTTCGATAATTACGCAGTCTATGAACGTATCGCTGCATATACGCGAACGGCTTATGAAGAAAGATGGACTCTACTATTGTGGATGTTTTTATATGAATTTCGTTCCGCGAGGTAGATTGAAATTCTTTTCGACGAAACGACCGTGCACCGAGAGCTGCTCACTGCAAGGTCCGGCGGTAAAAAACAATTTCGCGTGTGCCGAGATTAAAACGCGAGGCTCTCGCCGATCAGGCAAATTTGTTAATTTCGGATTCGATAACTTTTGTAATATAATCACACATATAGCGCGCGCATAAATGTAACGTGCAAATTACGCAGCTGCTTCGAGTCAACGTTCGCTGTTCAATCTCCAAGTCCTTTCGGAGAGCCGCTTTCGGGAGCTGCGAATTAATATTTCCGTGGGAGTCAATTCGCGCCGAGGCAAGATGTATAAATAGATTACGAAACTCCATTTCTTAGCCGGCATTGAATAGTCCTCTCTAACGCGGGTTTAACCTGAAACGCGATTTTACCGGAATAAAGTCAATCACTTCCTATTCTTTCGTGGCAAAATCAGTGGCAAAAATCAGCGTCGAGTGAACTGAACAGAAATCGCATCGTTGACATGCGCATCGATCATCCCGTCAACAGTCAATTATGCAGCGACAATGAAAAAAAGAAAATGTGGACTTTTGAAACGTTTTAATGGTCGACACTTCCGGGGCCGACAAATCCTATGGTGATTCTTTCCTCGTAGTGCAAGTTTCTTTCTGCATTATCCGCGGCACTTTTACAAGTTCGGCTTCGGTCTGATTTAAATAAGCCCGATTCAGCGACACTCGCTGCCGCTTTCCTGCGCGTTTTGTTAGCGGGGGGAGAAACGAATCCGACGAAATGGAGTTTCAATGACGACGCCGATCTCCCGCGCGACGAAACGCCTTTTCCTCTTCAAAGTAACGACGGGAATTTCCGACGGGGATCCGCGACGCCGCCCACACAAGCTTACATCTGATGCGTCTTTTGAAACTGCGTGCCGGCGGCGCGATTTCACACAACATGGAGCAGCGAGCTGCTTCGACGGACTAAAGTTTATCGACTATTAAAGCACTTCGATGCCCGCGAACCAACTTTGCGTCGGAGCCTGGTTTGGCTCAATTTGCGCGATTACCGATCTATCTCGCTCTCGTTCTTACTCCTGCTGGCCTCGCATGCCCGGCGAACTGTTTGTTCGCCTCGCGCAACAAAAGAGCTCACCCCGGCTCGAGTTTGACGTCACGGCGGAATTTCGAACGAGACTCAAGACAGAGTAATTCATTGGAACGCTGCCGACGTCCAATTCCGCATGCCGGGTTATATACTGCAATCCGTCCGCGTAATCTGCATATCTCGACGGTGAAAAACGACAGCCTATAACGATTTCCACTCGGCTCAGCTCTCTGCGAAAGCAGGACAGGAGGGAGGCACCAGACGGGAGGAAATTCTAGACGCATCGACGCTTTACCTCCCCTCGCCGAACATTGCCGATTTAATTGCCGACGGTGAATAATCGCCGTGGGGATGAATCAAAACAGGGCGGAGGAAGAAAAAAGCGGCGATCGTGTTTCACATCGACACGTTGAAATTTTCTCAACGCTCGTCGCGTCGTTCGCGCCGAGCGCGAACAATCCCGCGGGAGCTCGGAACATCCGATTCGTGATTGCGCGACGCGCGTTTGTTTTCTTTTTTCTTCTTTTTCCTTTGTTATTCTCTTTCTTCTCTCCGCGCTTTTTCCGATATACTGCTTTATTCGGGGAAGATTCGCAGTAACGCAACAACGCGCGCACAATTCGAGCAATTTCCAGGGCTCGAAATTTCGCGTCGACGCAAAGAGCGCGTGCGTGCCGGCGATTTCCTCGTCACGTTCGTCACGTACAATTTTCCACGGGGTCGTGACGCAAAGCGAGACCCTCGGTAAATCGACAACAACACGCGCCACGGCAACGCAAACGTTGCCGTTTCCGTTTCCGGTTACCTTCAATTCGCCGTGATTTTAACCACTCAACTCGCTCGTTAGTCGCGCGAATTTGAGTCGCGCGACTCTTGCCGCGGCTCAAATTTGCCGGACTCATCGAAGCGCGTCGGCGCAATCCATCCCGCTCTTCCTCAGCCACGTGGAAAATTCGCTCGGCCGTGAGTTGAACACGTCAGTCGCCGTAACGGAATAAAAAATGGCCAACGAAAATTCGCGAGTTCTCGTCGAGGTCGCCATCGTCGTCGTCGTCGTCGTCGGCAGCGGCGGCAGCGTCATCGCCGTTGCTAATCGTTTATTGCGAAAGTTTAGGGACGGCTTCCGCGGCAGCTGTCAAGCTTCGACGGCGATAATAGATATTATCGTGTTCGAACAGCGCTGCCATTTATGCGCACACAGATTTCAGCCGCCGGCTGCAACCTCACGATTACGTGCCGACACAATCGTCCGTTATTAAGCGAGCAACGCTGCGTATCGCGGTCGCATATATAGAATAGCGCGATTCGATATCCCGCGTATTGTACGAATCGCAAAAGTTAATTAGGTAACACATTACGAACGCCGCTGCTTTCATTTCGTCGTA